TAATAAGTATCATTTTGCCCTAATAAGTATCACAATGTTTTTATTATAATATGTATTTAATATTAACGAGTATCATTTTGCCTGTATTTATACAAAAAAGGCTGATGGGTGTATTATTTACTTATACTGTATCATCAATTTTATTTATATATTATTATCAATTGGTATTATACCGATACATTGTGATCCCCAACGCTAACCTCTACACCATTCTACATAAGCGCAACTTAGTATTTACTGACCGCTAGTACTTACTTAGTGCCCCTACCATAATATTAGTCAAGGTTAGAGGGGCAATATTTAGAAAAGAGTATCAACTAAATCCAATTCACAATGATTTTTTGATACATAAGCTTATGCAGTGATGCAGTACACTTGTAACAGGCTATAATAAAATATATATTTAAAAAAATGGTTAGCCGTTATCAAATAATAAATATAAAAAATGGTAAACAAAAATAATTATCAGCAGGATCAAATAATAATATTTTTAATTCACAAACAGTTAACCCCACCAATAGCAACCTTAACTTCCCAATAAAAACAAACAATACAGTAAAACAATTCAGCTATTAATCAATATACTCAAAAACCAGCTTCTCGATTTTTTTATTTGAAGAAAAAAAGGAGAACATTCATCAATTTCAATAATCTTATTAAGTGACTATAAGTCTGGACAAATAGCAGGCTTAGTGCTACCATTAAAAAAACTTATTAATTGTATTAAATGTGATATATTTAAATTTTGATGAAAATTTTCTCATTGTTTTATCTGAATCTTCATTTGTTTTTCTGGTTAAAATTGGTTGCACGTAATTACAAATTGAATATTTATATGAATAAACAAATTTAAATTTTTTGCATCCTGTTTGCAGTTGTTAATGGGCTGATAACGTATGATTCTGGGTCCAAATAATTTATAGAGGCTGGTAATAACTGTAAAGATGGGTATACAACTACAACAACAATTTCATTTTCACAATCATTTTAGAATACACCATAAGTTTTCATTTATTTGACAAGATGGACAGACACTATATTAATACACAGTTGAATTCAGGATATAAATTATTAACCCAACCTTAACAAGTAATTGATATTTTATATATTTAGATTTTCAAGTTAAGATAGATTGTCCTTCTTCATAAGTCTTTTATGTTTATTTTAATTGGTATGCAATTGATGATCAACGAGTGCAAGTAATAAACGTATTTAATTTTGATAACCCTGTCACAAAGACTTTTTCTCATTAAAATCCTAATGCCTTATATGGTTTCGTAACACCAATAAGCTTTAAAGCAATAGGTATAGTTGACTATAACCTTTAAGTATTTCTTAATTTTATTTAGATAACATCAATAACAAAATCAACAGTTACAGTTGGTTTGACTGGTGAAGCTGGGAAAATTGAAAAACTCACATAAATAGGATACTAGATAGTTTTAGGAATTTAAGAAGTGTTTGATATTTTAGAAATTTTTACAACAGCTTTATACAATAGTGGTAGTATTAACTTATAACCAAATAAATGGTTACTGACTCCTATTGTGGCTGCTACAAATCCACCAGATACCAGTATTAGACTTTGGCAAAAATTCACAACCACAGCCACTACTGTGACTTACAATTTTGATACATGTAATTTATTTTTTGTTATTTTAGGGGGTTATCCATATTCTCCTAATACTCATAAAAAAATTTGGATGTCTAATAATGCCATTAATTAATAATATAGTATAGTGTTGTTACTAACTGTCCGAATATCATCTAAATTTGATTTAAGTTCCATCTCAAGTTCCTCAATTTAATTACAAATGCCATAAATCAATTAAAGCTATAGCTCTAATGGTGTTTATACTGCAATTGTTGATTAATCTGACACTCCAGTTTTAATTAATGTTCAAATGAAATGTTTTAATGGAAAAAAGTTTAAAAGTTAATTTATCAAGTGTAATGGTTGCTCAGGAAATAAATATCTGTTTAATCACTTTTGTCATTCAAATATTAATTAAGTTGCTTATTTTGCAAAATTTACTACAGCTACACCAGCCCATTACGAATTCAAAATAACAATTTCAGATTCTGAGATCACAGTAGATCAAGTAGTTTACCATTAATTGAAGACTTCAACTTAAATACTAAGTATTTTAGTATTAAATTTTTGATTATTATTGAACATATTGCATATTAATATATTTATTTATATTTTATTTAAAAGTAGTTTTAATTTTATATTTCACTCGATATCCAAAATCTTAGTTAATTATTGAGGAAAAAAGTTTAAATGATAATGCTAATTGATAGAGGCAAATGAAAATCAATTTTTTTTTTTTCGATTTATAAAGAAGGAAAACAAAAAAATTACAACTTATGACATAATTGCAAACGGATTTAATTATTTTCAATTTCATTACAGAAGAAGATGGAGCTTGGGTAAGAGAGGAGTAAGATGTTTGAATAAAAGGATCTTAGTAAATTGATTGAGATTAATAGTAAGAAAAAATAAAGGAATCTCTCCTATTTTATTAATGCCTTTATCATAGATATTTATATAATATGTTATATAAATTGATATTTAACAATAATAAAAAAAAAATTATTATCTTTTGCGTATTCATTAAAATCAATACTAAAACTAATTACACTCTTTAATTACATCTTAAATAACAGTTTTCATTTGTGATTATGAATAATCTAATTCAATCTCCATTTTGTCATTGTGTGATTGTCAAATTCTGATTTATGTTTTATTTAAATTATTTAAAATTATTACCTGATAAAATCTTATGGAGAAGGAGTAAATTCAGAGAATTTTTGGTTAAAATTATTATGGTATTCGAATAAACTATCTTGATTAATTCCATTATAAGCTTATCGCATAAATGTTCCCATTATTTTAGAAATTAGATTTTATTTAATATGTTTACATAAATATTCTGTTATTTTAGAAATTTATATTTGGAACACTTTTCATTTAAATGTGATTTTCATTGCTATTTTAATTCAAATTGTTTTTTTAATTTATTCCAACATTTTATGAAATCATCTATTATATTGATGAAATTTAGGTTTAAATAAAATAATGAATAATTTTTTTTATTAAATTATGTCATAAACTGAATAATTCTCATTTAACAAAAATGCCTATATAATCAAATCCAATTATCATCCAAATATGGCATGAATTAAACTGATTTAGCACTTCTGCATAATATTGACTTGTACTCTAAATAGGAGTATATCATCAAAATCAACCTAAGCAAATGTAACCCATCCCTTACTATCTATATTCGAATTCGTCATTGTCATTATGAAATTAAACATTCAAATCATAACCTAAATTTTCATTATTCAAATTCGTAATAATTATATTGGCTAATTGAATATATTTAATTACAGTAAAGTCATATGAAACTATTTAAAATTTGTTTTCTTATGATCTATGAATTATCAGTTATTTTTAAGATTAATTTCTTTTGGAATCAGATTTAGGTTTATTGTAATTATAAGATCCTAATAAATTATTATTTTGAGAGGATTGTATAGAAATAAAATGAATAAATCGAAGAAATATCATTTAAGCGTTCAGACTAAAAATGAAAAATCTTAAGGACTTTATTCATCTAATAATCCTTCCAATTGATTTCAATTTTCCATATATTGTTAATGGTATTATTATAGAGCAGTCCAGAAAAATAATACTTGCTGCAATATAAAATAAATAAGCCTTATATGCTAATCACATTTTAAACACAGTTTTTTTATTAATATAAATCTTTATTTATTATATCTTGAAATTGCAATTCATATCTTATTTGAAATTCTCCCTGTTATTACTCGGTTGAAAATAATATTGTTTATGTTTTATTTAATTATTTTAACTAAATAATATTTAAGAGTAACATCAACGATTACAATAATATTTTTGATTCCATAAGAATACTTAAAAATAAAAAAGCATATTCAATCAAATTAATTTGACTTTGAGGAATATTGTTTAATTAATGAAAAATAAACATATTTTGCTTGTAATCTTAAATACCATTACTAAAATTCAATCCATCCTCTATTATCTGTGTGAAATTCAAATACATTTTAGGTTGATTATTATCTAATTACATTATGATGCAACTAAGATCATTGATTAATATTAATTCTAGAAATCATTAAATCCTTTCTAATTATACAACTACCACACATTTTACAAATAATTTTATATATATTGATGTTTCCAGCTGACAATATTATTTATCTTCTCTTCTCTGCTCTTCTCTACTCTACTTATATCTATCAAATAATTATATCTCAAAATAAAAATATCGTTTTTAAGAGGTAAATAATAATATTAAAAAATTTTTTGCGGATAAGTTGATGGAATTTTCAAAATACCAATTTAACTAGTTTTTTAAATACATTACAGCATTGCTTAACTACTTTTTAATTTTGTGTGGAGCTATTAGAATTCTAGTAAATTATAATACTTTATTTCTTACAACTTATTTTATTAATGGTTTTTTATTAAATTTTCTTAATGATGAATTCATAATAATATTTAATTAAAACTAATTTAGTATCTTGAGTAACAAAATGAATTGATATAATGAAAAATAGCACCTTTAATATCTTTAATTAATGGAAATAATTAATTAGAATTAAATAAAAGCCATTATTCTGTATTGACGTTTGATACAAAAGTTTATGAAATATCAATTCTTAAATTAAATATTAATTTAAGATTAAAAAGAATTTGTAATACGCATTATTTTTATTCTCAATGTAAACTTATTAGGTATCCTAAAAGTTATTTTTGAATCATCAATTACTAAAATTATTTGAAAATACAGAATGCAACATACATAGTTTCTCAAATAAACTTATAATTTTTTTTTTAATTTACAAACAAGACATTATGTTGAGCAGCATTACAACTAACATGATTGCTTAAGAATTAAAGATCAAATTTTATATTATATATTGTA